AGATCCCTTTCTCGCGGACGTTTATGGCGTCGGTCTGACTCGTCGTGGCTCGGTACTCAAACGGCTCGATTCTGTTCCCACTTATCCTTCGTCTCGACGAACGAGATACTCGATGCTCGCCAACTCGCGAGATCCCGAAGGAAAAGAATCCTTTTCCTTCGGAATCGCGTCGGTTGTTTTCATTCCTTTCGTTAATAACACGTTTCTGTTTTTGCCGATACGGTGCACAGGTCCATTTTGAATTGCACGTCTGCGGCCAACGAGGCAACAAAGTTAGGAATACGGTGCACGCGATTGGTTCTTGCCGTTAGAGCGAGCACGTGGCCAATAGACACACGCCGTCAAGACCGCGAGTTTTAAATTCTGTCTAATAGGTTAACATTAAACCTACCGACATTTCATGTATACCTAATCCTACCATGAGCGGTCAAATGACCGCTTCAAAAAATTTCCTTGAAAATATTATAAATCGGTGCTCTTCCGCGATTAGACCCTTCTTTTATTTTTTGCCAAACAGTTCCGTCCATAGCAGTTTCAATTCCTTCTTCATTTTCACTTTCGGAACTAACTATAAATCTCTTTCTTTTTTGTCCTCTTCGTATATTCAAAATATTCTCTTCGTCCGTATCGCTGTCAAATAAGTCACAATTATTTTCTGCTGTATCATCGTCAAAATCGGAAACTTCTTGGTCATCTTCAGAACAATCCTCGTCGATATTATTTATTTTGTCTAATAAATTGATATTCCTCGAATGTCTTGACATTTTGGGGGATGAATATACAAATGATAAAGTAAAAAGTAAAAACTAAAATATAAAAATATAAATCAAACGGGGCAAAAACATTGAGACCAGAAATAAAAAATAATTGTAAATCATACCACAAAATATTGTTAGCTCTGTTGACTTTGTCGAAACTATCACTTATACCACGTAATAATTTCTATAATACACTTTGAAATTTTGATGCTCTGTTCGGATCGCAAGACCGTATTGTCATATGAAGAACGCTATACATTTGTTCCAATCGCGCGTTTGTCTACACTGTAGATCCACAATTACCTTGTAGACTCGTAAAACAATTTCAGGAGTGCGCTTTCCGAAGAATATAGTCGTAAATAACATGAATTTTTCAAATGGTCAAATGGCCGTTCGTGGTAGACTAGACATGCTATAAATTTTTTTCGGAAAGTAAACAATAAAGAAAGTTGTGAATATTGAAAAATGGGTTGTATGTATTAGGTTGTCCGGAAAGTTCTTTTCGCGTTCGTCGCTCAAGGCCTTGTCTCGCTGTGTTTAAGTAAACAAACAACCAGAGCACTCTACCGTCAACTGTATGGTTATTAGTCATCCTCTGGCAGTACAAGAGAACAGTTTTTGACGTCAGTAGAAAGTTTGTCGAGTGTTTTTCGCCTTGTGAAAGATGGAAAACCAAAAGATGCAATTGCGTCATGTGATGTTTTACTGCTTTTAAAAAGGCAGTACGTTTGAAAATACTGCAAAGAAGATTTGTGACGTTTATGGGGACCAGTCTATAACTGTTCAAACAGTCCGTAATTGGTTTAGAAGGTTTAGAGCCTGAAATTTTAACCTTAAAGATAAAGATCGCAGCGGTCGGCCATCAACCACTAATACTGACCTTATCAAGGCCTACCTCGATGAAAACCCAAGATCTAGTGTTCGTGAGATAGCAAATGCTTCAAACATCCCGCGAACAACGGTTCATGAACATTTGACAAAGCTTGGATACGTTAAACGCTACGAAGTGTGGGTCCTTTATCAACTGACGGAAAGCAATCTTCTGAACCGAATCTCAACATGCGATTTACTCATCCAACGTGACAAAAGAGAGCCGTTTTTGAAAAGTTTGATTCCTGGGGATGAAACTTTGATCCTCTACGACAACACTGCACGCAAACGATCTTGGTCGAGTCGAAATAAGAGTTCTTTAACGGTAGCAAATGCTGGACTTCACCCGAAGAAAATATTGCTTTCAATTTGGTGGGACTGGAAGGGTGTTCTTTACTACGAGTTACTTCCGCAAGGGCAAACGATTAACAGTGAGAAATATTGCACCCAACTCGAAAAACTGAAAGAGGCTATCATTGCAAAACGTCCAGAATTGGTGAATAGACGTGGTGTCGTGTTCCACCACGACAACGCGAGGCCACACGTTTCTTTACCCGTGCGAACAAAACTTTTAGAGCTTGATTGGGATGTTCTACCGCATCCTCCATACTCTCCAGACCTTGTACCATCGGACTATTATTCATTCTTTTGCCTCAAAAATTTTCTTCGCAATAGAAAATTCACATCAGTTAATGAAATAAAAAACGGCCTCGAAGAATATTTTAACAGTAAGGCAAGGGAATTTTGGAAAAGCGGCATTATGAGACTTCCGGAGCGATGGCAAAAGGTGGTAGAACAGAACGGATCATATGTATATTATTCAAGAATAGTACACAGAACCTAAAATATTTTATACTTAATACCTGTTAAAAAAACGAAAAGAACTTTCCGGACAACCTAATATATTATAGGAAAAGTCAATAAGCTACATGGTGATACAGTAACGTTGTATACGAGAAATTCTAAACAAAATTTCAAAAACGGTCATTTGACCGCGCATGGTAGGTTTAGTGTTAAACAAAATTTTATTAGTGCTTTTACCAGTCTGCGAACAAATGTTGAAATTTAGTCGCTCCGGGCGTAACCCTTTAATACCAAAGTTAAGCTTTACGCCGTTATCCTTATCCCGAACAAGATAAACGTCTCGTGTATAAATCTTGTCTGCGTAGCGGGCGTTTTCCAAGCAATCGTTATTTTGCATTCGTAGCTGACGCCCAGCGACCAACGATATTGATTGACGGCTGCATAAATCTTTGCAGTGGTTAGCACCTTTGGAGAAATATCTCCAACGTATCCGGTCGTTGCGGGAATACTAATAACGCATCGTCGCGAAAGAACCGCGTCGAGTCGAGGCTCGATTCGTTACGTCCAACGATAAATATTAATGCGCCGCTGGTGTTTATCCCGAGCCTCTTATCGGTTGCAGATCGCGCGAATTAACTGCATTTTGCCGCAGTGTCTGCAATCGATATCGGTGCAGTGGTAGCTTACGTGCACAAACAGCGCCAACGACTCTGGCACGTGTAACGACAACAAATATCGTGGCCGGTGGCCTATATTATCGCAGCGGCGACACTCGCTACCGACTTCCAGCGATCGACGAACAAAAGGATCGCAAATGGGAATGGCGCTCGAGCCAACCGGAGGATGAACGCGAGATTGGGCATGACCGTAATATGCGATTCTGTCAACTTTCTGTCGCGCATTTTCGACTTATTTCACTTTTATCCACGTTCGAAAAAGATACTGCTACGGTTGGTCGTACTAGTAATCCAACCATCGCACGGAATTGGTAAACTTTAACGAGCGACGCGCTTTTGCGAAATCGTTTGACCTTCGTGCCCGTAGAAACATCGTGATCGTGACTAATCCGTGTCTTGTTATCATTTCTTCATCGTATCGACTGACGTTACGTTGCTAGGGAAACGTCAGCGGAAAAGAGAAAAATTGTTTTCATCGAAAAATTTGCATACATTTTTATTAATTTATTTATTTACCGGACCATTGATTTACAAAATTACAAAAGATTGTTTCTCTGACCTCGAAATTTTTCAAAAGATACACTAAAAACATCATCAACAGGTACGGAGTATTTATTAGCAGTAGCGCTAGTGTGAACAATGGTATCTGAATTAAGAAAACGAGAGTAGTTAAACAATTTCTTAATACGCTTAAGAACCGTACCAAATTCTATTTACCGGAACTGCGTTGTGAGGTCGAAAAGATTACGAATCTTTTTTTATTAAATAATTATTCTATATAAATGCACCGATACATAATAATAACTTGTATCGTTGTTTTTAACGGTCTCATCGATATCATTATTACGTTTGATAAATAAAGATTTTAAACAAAGTTTACAGCGTGCCCGTAAAATCGCGTGCCAATCACTTGCCGTCACTGTCCTAAGCTTGTCTGCCTAAGTCTGTCCTGAGTTTAAAAAGGTTAAGAACCGCTGCATCGAGTATACAAATAGGATCGAGCACACCATAACACTTTATATTTGGCCGAGCTCCGATCTTGCAGAACCGCTGCAATCGAGATGTACGAACGCGGATCGTTGAGTCGTGAAAGCAGCAGATAACACGTATCCAGGTAATGCAATTTTGATTTCCTAACGAGGTCCGTTACGGCGAGATGTAGATATTGGAGCATCGATACCGTCGGAACGGTACGCGCGAGATGATTAATATTAGAAGCGAATTAACTGTGTCGTGTGACCACCGTGCGACCCGATTCGAGGATTTCTCTTCGGCGGTTTCTTACGATCGACGAGTCATTCAGGACACGTACCGAAGCGACTTCGCAGATGGTCCTCGACCTTGCACAGTTTTGGAGCCGTTCACAGAGACTTCTGTACCGCACATAACACACAAATCCCCTCCAGTATCGCGCCTCGCCGCTAAGAAGAAACGAAATTCTCGAGACGGATGAAGTGAGAGAGAGGAAGAAGCGCCAATAGACCGAGGTCGTAAAAGAGTATCAGCGCGCCAAGTCTCGACCTCGATCTCTCGCGGTAGGGGTACTTTCTTTCTCCGAGAGGGTCCAGGGCCGAGAAGTTAAGGGTGCCTCAGGCTCTGAACGATTTCTACCGGTCAACGGACCCTTTTTTCTTCCAACGCTCAAACATTTTTATGCTTCGTCTGCTCCGCAATCGGAGCTCCCCGTTCGAGTAACTCGGTAGTCGCGGGAGCGAACTTTCCGTTCGCCGCGGAGAGAAGAAATAAAAGCAACTATTTTAATTAGCAGAGCGCGAAGCGACGACCTCGCGAGGTCGCAGGAGGAACGCGGTAGAGGACGCCGGTAACTCGGTTTACACAAAGAGGATAGAATGTCTAGGCGAGACGAGAGAAGAAGAGACGTCGGACTCACCGTGCGAAAGGTTGTTCCTCGACCTCGTAGAGCTCTTCGAGGGTCTGTTTCGAGAGAAGCCTCTCGAGTCTCTGGGGCGTGGGAGCGAGATGCCCCGGGATGCTGGTAGTCTCGAACAGGCTGTCCGCCGTCATAGCCGCTGCCGGTTCGAGGATGCGTCAACTGGACGAAAAGGACCAAATGGTGGCCAGATAATCCTAAATTTCCGTCGGGTCGTACGACGAGGCGTGACGACCGCGAAGGGCAAGGCGAGCCGCACCGCTCCAAGTACAAGTCACACAAGCAGATTACGATTATTCACTTGTAGCTATCACAATCAGATCTCTTGATACGTGTTGAAAATAATATCCGTGAACACGAGAACGAGCGGTGGAAAGGGAGTAGAAGAAAAAAAAAGGGAAGGTGTTTTCTCTGATCTCCGGTCACTGCGCTTACACGGCCTACGATTTTACTCGCGTCGGCAACGTAACGGCGAACGAATCACCACGTCACTGTCGCGGCAGGTTGCGGCACGCATCTCCGTAAACGAAAATCCTCCTGGCGTTTCGCACTGCTACGTCGATGGCACGAGTCTCCTCGGAGTGCACGCACCGTTCGCGATACGAGGCACGCGCTTCTATCGTCCGAGCCTTATCACGCGCGACCACTCCTCGCGATGGTTCACCAACAATTGAACCTTCCGCTGCGGCTTTGTGCAATCCCCACTCTCGCTTCTCGAGCGCCTTCCTATCTCCACCGTGGTGGGGAAAGTCTACCCCCACCCTCTTGGGTAATCGGTGACGGTGACAGTACACCGAACCGAATCGAACCGAACGCCTCCGAAAGCAACCGAACGGGCTTGCGCTGCACCGACGCGAACCACGCGAAAGATAGATGCAACCCGACGCCATGCATCAACTACTTCCTCCTCTCTCTCTCGGCCCCAACCGTATTTCGTCTACCCTTTTCTTTACCCTCAATTTTGCTCGATATTTGCCGCTGAATAGCAAGAAAAATATAAATCTTCAAACTTTGCATAATGGAAAGAAAATTTTATGAGCAGCAGTTATTAAATCGTTTTCCTTATATGTACCATCAAAATATCTAAGGAATTCTATTTTATTCCGTAAGCCACCGCGCAACACATGAATCTAAAAATTTTATAAATTGAACAATTACTCATGTTAATTTCATATACGCAAAAATAGAGAATAATTGTACAATAATTATTTTACTAAATTTTATAACGATAATATTGTCTCTTGTATAATTTTTACTTTCTTTTTGTACTAAAGGGTTTTCCCGTGAATAAATGAATAATAATAATTATTAAACATATGCAAAACTTTTAGTCTTTTTTTCACCACTTTTAATATTAACATGAGAAGTACAAGCGAGCATTATAGCATCTACAGAGTTCTAAAATTTTTTCCATAAATATTAAAGTTAGTTAAGATATCGTTACTTGTCTCGTACGATAAAACTAACGTCGAAGACATATTAAAATCTCGTGATAGGGCACCCCATTTACGCTTAACTACATCAAATTGTCGTTACGTCAGTCTTCAAACCCGATAAGATCACATTGCAGGTCTAACATATTATCAATAATGTGTTTTAGCAGCGAGATTTCATCCGTAAACCCGTCTATTTTTACGACTTGTTACTGCGGCGCGGAGATTTCAATGCCGTGCTTTTCGAACAGAAGACACGATGCGTTTCCACCGAAACCGCGGGAACCTTGCTAATCTTTGCGAGTTTCTTAAAAAACACGCGGCCATTTTACAAAGTCGTAAAATACCGGGTAACGAGCAAGCGCGTCTCAAATCGTGACGGTAAATCGAATAGCTTACGGTCGCACTAGTAAACGGAACTTACCTTGGACTAGCGAACAAACGCGGAGAGCCAGAAGGCTTGTAAAGCGTGCCAGGATCTTGTCAACCACCGTACATGATTATGGCGACCGAGCATGAATAATTGAATGTATAATTTATCGATTTCGCGGCGAAAGAGCCGCAGCGAGCCGGTCGGAGAAAGAGAGGGGCCTATAGATTGTGGCTATAGCGCGCCTCTGCATTATAGATCTCCTAATAAGTCGGTGCAGCTTCCAATGCCGAGATAAATCAGCTAATCTCGATAAGGATAACCGTTGTCTCTACACGATAACTATGACGTAGTTATACCTATTTTGCAGCACGAGTCGGGACGCACCGTTCAGACTCGCTGATTCACGGCGGAATTGGAAACTGAAGAGATTGAATTAACGATTCGCGCACATTAGCCACCTCAAACAGATCGACTAGATTTTCCGGCCCCTTTAATCTTTATATTCCTCTTATTTTCTTTCGATATGCATAATTTTTTCACGCGGCATACCTACTATTTATTTTTAGGAAGACACGTTTATGCGATTGGCTTTCTCAAATAATAGAAATCAATGAAAGATCTGAAAGATTATGATTAACTGATCGATACTTTTCTTCGATTTAAAAAATATTTGATCGTATTATAAATCTTTGATTATTTAGAATTTCAAACCAGAAGAGGACCCATGTATACAGTTTTCTGTCAGTCGTGGAAATGAGTTTGAACAATATGGATACCTTTCATTTATAAATGAACATAACAAATATACATATTAAGCACACACTGTTTTCTTAATTTTACGAAGAGGAACATATTATATAATACGTATCGATAAAATTTATAGTAGCGTTTACTCCAATGTCAAAGCACAGTTTAAAAATTCAATGTTTACCATTCTGTATAAATCTGTATATATTTATTCTCAAATGCAATTTACTTAAACTTATGAAATTACATGATAACATTGTTTCATCGATATAACTAAAAAATTAAGACGTTGAATACCATTTTAGTTTTCCATGAAAAACTATAATCTGCCGAATAAAAATATTTAATGATTGAACAGTGTATTAAAGAAACGTTGTATGACTATGACAATCAACGTGTTAAAATACTTTTTACTCCGGTAAATGAATCTCCTATTCGCGACATGATATCGGACTGCAAATTTGTCCCTGAACAAGAATGAGTTTAACATGCTCCACATACGCGAATCGTAGCTTCTTAAGTGCGACGGAACGAACGATTGGAACGCGCATTCATATTCTGAATAATGACCATCTTGATCCGCGGCGACATCTGATACTCCTGTTGAGAAATTTGACCAGTCGTCGAGGAATTTCTCGGACGCGTTTCTAAACAGGATCTTGCGAAACTTCAGGACCAGTTTCTTAATCGAGTTATCTCGCGTTTCCGATGAGTCTACCTGATGCAATCAATGCATACTGTCCAGGTAATATGTATTTTGTATACTCGTTCTGTAGATGACCCGTACCATTCTTTTAACGTAAAACTTTTCACGAGACCAAAACTTTGATTTTAGACAATTGTAAACCACATAACTTAAAATTCGTCTTAGTACTTATTTTCATAATCTTGCTAAAATTCATAAATTGTTTTAGTTGCGTAGTGAAAAGTCCTGCCACTCGCAAAGTATTAAACATATAAATATTTAAGGGTCTTATATTTTTGTCCAGTATATAGCCATAGAGAATACATTAAAGAAATTACTTATTAAATACTTTCATATACGTATTCCTCGCTGAAATCATCAATTATTTCCGTCGTTCAATGAATTCTGTCCCCCTACGAAACGGTCGAATAAAAGTAATCCGTGTTCACCGACTTGGTGCAAACAATGCGTTTCGCGATACGAAAAAGTGCTCGGCGCACGTGACTAAGCGATCGCAGCTTCTATCTGGGCTAGAATCGGCAAACATTGATCCAAGTTCCCTAGCTGTTTGCAGGGTAAAATAAAAATACGACGGATGATGAAGGCTTGGTGGTACATGGAAACGCAAATGTACACGGCTGGAGTACAGGAGGTCGCACGGAGAGGTTAAGAATTTACCGTGAAAGCGTCGGAGCATCGCAAACCGATCGAACGTATGCCAAGATCGCGTCGAGCACCGGATTCGAAAGGGCTTTGAAGAGACAACGGCCATCGACGGCGAGGAAGAATTAATGAAAATACATGGTCAAAGGCAAACGAATGCACGTCTGTTTCGCGTAGAACACGGCGATGATGCGTCACTGATTCATCGCGCGACAAGTTATCTATGTACGTGTACAAACAGTTTTCTAGGATAGCACTCGTAATCGATGATCCAGCGAAGCGTTGCGGTACACGCGGTATCATAAACGACGCTTTCCTCCCAACGTCGATTTCATGGTCGTTCGAGTCCATTAATATACTACCGGCAACGTCTACTAGCGGGTAAGATTACTTTAACTTAAATTCTACCCTATCTATGTTTGCACAATCTCACAAAAAAAACTAAATAAACTAAACGAAACGTATTTGTGTTAAGGTAAGCATATTCTACAAATAAAATTACAAACAAAATAAAAAATAACAGTAGATTGCTTTCTTCGGATTTACAATTCCATTTAAAAATGTCAAACGAAGTATTGTAATGCTTATTTCTCACGAATGTTAATTTCTTTTCTATAAACTTTTTCTTTCACAGTTTCTCAAAAGGAGAAATCTTGGAAAGACATGAGATTGGTTCTCCTCGACTTATCCATCATCGTGGCTAATGATCATTTAACTATTACCGTACTAATTAGATTTCGACGAAGTTTTCGACGAAGTAATAATAAAATATTTTTTACCGCTGCTGTCTTCAATTCGTAATGTAGGAAATCGAGAAAAAAAAAACTGTACAACTACGAAATCAACGACCTCGGCAAATAAACATTACAGTTTACATAAAGCAAATAGATATCGAGATTGTGTTCGTACACTTTGTAAATTTGTTACAACTTCCTAATAAAGCATTTGACAGTCTCTAGTTACATAACAGTTTTTTTAAATTTTGCTTATAGAATTGCTGGCAAAGTTATGCGGGGGAAAAACTGGAACGTTCTGTAGTTCCTGCAGTTCCCTCGATATTTTCTAACGGGTGTACAAGTATCCTAGGACTCGTTTCGAATCCCTGCGGCTCGTTTTTGTAAACAGATGTCGATCGTTCGGAGCGAGGACGCAGCTTCCCTCGATATGGTGGACGAGAAGGGTGGGACGCGAAGGGGATTCTGGTAACTTTCCCTCCTACGCACACAAGGTGACAAGGACGGGTAAGGGGAGTAGAGGAGAAGAAGGCATTGGCATGCGAGAGAGCCTTTCTAATCCGTCCAACGAGTTGATGTTTTCGCGGCAGCTAGTAGAAGGTAACGAACTGCTGCCTACCAGAAGGGGCAAGGACGGCCGAGGCCGACCGACCCCGAGAACATGGCAGGAAGTCAACCTGGAGGAAGAAAGAAAGGAAGCCGATCAACGAACCAATACCAACAACTTGCGTGATCAACGTTCCTTTGCCCGTATTCCTACACAAAATCATGAAAGTATTCGAACGATGATATGAGCCGTTTATTTTGAAAGTGGCCTAACTCCATTTTTCAATTTTTTTCCGGTTACCATGGTTACATGTACAACTTCATGATATTTATCAGTAAAGCATTTCACGTTGCTTATATTCCGAGCAAATACGATCATTCTTGACACATAAGTTTTCAGAGTTAGTTCAATAATTAAACCGTGTAGTTTGAAAGTGGCCTAACTCCATTTATACTTAAATCAAGATA